CATACAGCAGCAGGGAAGAGAAAAAGCCCTAAGGAGGGTGGGCTGGGAAGGGGTGGTGCTTCCCCAGCCCTGGACACCCCCAAAACTTGGGGGGGCTTTGTCCAACCAGACTTTGTCCTATGTCTGGGCAGGGTTTGAGCTGGGAACCCTCTAGCCCTGCTGTTGCTGAAGCAATCAGATAGTTGAGAAACGAAAATACCGATTTGAGATAAACATGTTCACAGCCTGAGGTTTCCGTTCCCCCATTTCAGCTGCAAACGTCTCTTCCACTTTCGGCTCTGAAATGGCGCTGGTGAAAATTCAACAAAATGCCCTTAGAAGAGACCCTGCAGAGCTTTGTGGTTTCCACCCCTGCAGAATTAAGAGATCACACGGGGCCACCTGAGCTCCTGCCCGGGTTTTATCCCTCCCAAGCCCACTGTAGTTCCCAGCGGAGCCACTCCAGCTCCCCCAAATTCGCTATTAATTCCACTTAATTGAAACAAATCCAAGTCCTTTTTTTTAATATAATTAGAAGAGGCTGGGGGGAAAAAATAAATCAGCACAGAAAAGCACTTACAAACCAGCAAAAGGGAGAGAAAGCCGTTAAAACACAGCTGAAAAGAAACAGAGCCAGAAACTCAGAACCACAATAGGAGGCGACAGCGGGGAGGGGGACGGGGCACCCACGGTGGCAAAAGTTTTGATCAAACCAGCTGAAAAGTAGTGAATTTGGCGTTTGTGGTTTGATGTTGGGTTTGTTTTAGGTTTTTTTGCCCCCTCCCTTCAGTTTGCCACTTTTCATTTAAACAATTAATAAACAGTTGATGACTCCAGCCCCCAAATGAGACCTCGCGCTGCCAGGTCGCCCCCACCCCAGCCCCAGCCCCTCTCCGGCCGGTGCTGACTCAGCCAGCCCTGGTTTTTTACAGCCAAGAAGCTCTTTTCTGCTAAACTCAGCGTCCTGGTGGGGAACGCAGCCTGCAAGCGACTTGCTGGTGCTGCTTGAACATCGTTACGGGACGGAAAAGACAACACACCTCCCCGTCGGCCCCGTGCTCCGCCGTAGCCCAGCCTGGCTCCCATCCTCGGGCTCCTGGGCAAGGCGAAGGGGCCAAGGACCACCTCGAGAAGCCTTCACTTGCATCAAACTTTCTGCTTAAGGGTTTCCAAGCAGGAAGAGGATTCTTTTTTTTTTTCCTATTATTATATTTTTGCTGAGTAAATCCAGCCGAGCGGGGGGTTCTCACAGAGCCCTGTGGGCGGGTGCTGCTGAAGGCCCCGCGCTCGCTCTGGTTTGAAATGGTTTTGCATGCGAAGCCGGCAGGCTAAGGAGGAAAATTCCAAGGTGCTTGAGCTCCATCGGGGAGCAAAAGCAGCGAGGCTCGGAAAAAAAACCAACCCAAAAACCCAGCCCAGAGAGGTGAGAAAATGCTCCCATGCCAAATCCTGGGAGTTTAAACCTGGTGGGAAAAGCCCTTGGGGAAGGAGGGCTGGGAGCAGGGACCATTAAGGAAAATTCCATAGAGCTTGCTCTAACTCCAGGGTTAAGATTAGACTGGCGTAGGGTTGCTAAAGTATGGGCAGATCTAATTATGTCTTCAGGCCATGATAAACTGCTCAGCTGTCCCCTGTAGGGCCCCCTCCGAGGTTGAGAGAGGTTGGCAAAGAGGCGTTAAGGTTAAGCAATGGGCATTGCAGGAGTTTTAGACTTAGAGCTAAGGTGAGGACGTCTCGCAGCTAAGGTCAAGGCTTTGAATTTCGAATAAGCTCAGGAAGAACACCAAGCTTTTGTGCCAGCAGAGGATGAAGACAATGGCATTTGAAATGGGCCAGATGAAGCAGAACTGTGACAGGACCGAGGTGGAATATAGCAGTGGAGGAAAATGGAGACCTTTCGATTGAGCAAGAATAGAGGAATTGAGAACATGGTGGAAACTTGCAGCAGCCACGTGTAGTCACATGGAAAAGTCTGTAAGGTGTAAGGGGTATTTTTTACGTGGCCAGTCACTGAGGTGATGGCCCAACTCTGAGTTGTGAATAAAGGCAAACCTAGAGAAACCCAAACTCTGGTAGAGTTCTTCAACATTGAAGGCCTCAAGAAAAAAACGTGGGGAGATTCTCTGAGCTGTTCCAGTAAAATCCCTGTGGCTGTGCTTGCAGAAGTGAGCATTTGAGGTCTGGGGACATTACCTGGCTGCAGATGCTGGGCATCAGGTCGGCTGCGTGAAACAGCCTCGTCTAACACCACCCTCCCCCTCCCACCGTGGAATTGTTGAGGTTGGAAAAGCCCTTTAAGAGCATCAAGCACAACCGTTCCCCTGACCCTGCCATCCCACCACTAAACCCTGACCCTAAGCCAACGCCCTCACCAAACCGGGAGTTGCCTGCCCTGCTTGATGGGTCATACGGGAAAGATGGGGCCAGAGCCTTCTTGGAGTGCACAGGGAAAGAAGAAGATGGGGAAAGTTGCAGCAAGGGTGCTTACCAGGAGATCAAGACATTAGTTTCGTTCTTATTTGGCTGCATTGGGGTTTGAGTCCAACCCATGGTTTCTTCTTGTCATCCCCCTCCAGTTTCTGCCTTCAAACTCTTTTGGAAACATGTGCTTGGAGGTACGCATCACTGCTCTGCGTGGTCCCCTTTGAGCGTTGGAGACCGTTGGGGCTTGGGAGGCTCTTTGCACCCTCTGCAGTGCCCCCGCCCCCCCGCCCTTTTCCCCGGGGAAGCTGCCCACCCTCCCCATTTGGGAAGCTGCCCACCCTCCCCAGCTGGAGGGAAAAAAAATTAATATAAATATCATGAAGAAATGCTGCTCTAGGCATCTGCAAACCATCATCACCCAGGTGAGCTGGCTGTGGAGATGGTGGGGGTGATTGGTGTGACCCTCCCCCAGCATGCCAAGGGTGGGGGGGGTGCTCCAGCCCCCTGACATCATGTCCCCAGGGAAGGAGGAGGTGGCCATGCTCATCGTCATCTATCCAAACCCCCAAGCCTGGGATCCACCTTGACCCGTTGAACATGCATCCAGCCACAATGCATCCAACAGAGATGCTCATGTGCAAGCCAAGCACCCAGGGGGAAGAAATAATCCCTCACAGGCCATGATGCTTTCCATGAGGAAAGAGGAATCAAGAGACCATGAGTCGCAAGAAGTGACTGGGTCTTGCTGCTTCTTTTTTCTATTTGTAGAAAATACCATCAGGACACCTCAGCTCTCACTCATCCCCGCTCCAAACTGTGCTAACCCCAAGCCCTATGACTCAGAGTGGGGTCATGGCGTTTCAAAAGTTCAGGTAGCCCTCCATCGCTGGTCCTGGGAGGCCGGCACCTGGGCTAGCGTGATGATTTTCATGCCATGAGGTGTGGTGGCAACAGCAGAGGCAACACAAGGAAAAAAAAAACCAAACCAAAAAAAGGGCATCAAACTGCGCATGTCCAGACCCACCCAGGTCACTCAAGGTGATAGGTAGGGCTTTCCCCAAAGTGAGAACAGGCTGCAAAAAAAGCACAGTCATGGCTCATGGTCAGGCACAGAAGTCTTTGGGAAGAGAATGAGTGCTTCCAAATCATCAAGGCTGCTGGGGCTTTCTTCTTTAGCATCCAGTGTTTTCCCATCTTGAGGTTCCTCATGTTTCCCAGCGGGGGGTCTCCAACCTCCTGAGCCAAGGTGTGTAAGCTGCCCCTGGCACCCCAAAGGCCATGCCCACCACTCAGCGACTTGCATCTTGCAGAGGCTACGCTGGTGCAGCAGGAGGAGAGGTGAGGGTTTCCTCCACCAGCCTCACCTAACCACACCACCTCTGCCCATAAAAGCTTCCCTCCTTCAGCACACCCTTGACACCAGTGACAGAGGATGATGGCGGTTACATCATCATGACCAAACTGAAGGTGAAGGATCTCACCCTGACACCCAAGATAATGGATCCAGCTACCGGCGATCGTCTTGGACAGAAGGGCCATGAGAAGAAACCATGGGCAGCAGCAATTTTTGCCATTTGCTTTCTCTTTCCTTCCCCTGGGCTTGTCCTCAGCCAGCAGCACTGCAGAGGTGAGAAGAGCCAAGCTTTTTGGGTGGAGAAAATTCAATCAGAGGCTTGGGGGAAGCACATTTTGTCCATCGGTTTCATGCTTCACCCTCTGAGCGCCTCCAGGTCCATCTCCCAAAACGATGGCCAGTCTGGCATGGCCTCTTGCCTACCCTGGAAATCGATGTAAAGACATTTAGTTCCTTAGCAACTCTTATTTCACTTTTTCTGTTCCTTTTTCTGCCTATGCTCAGGACTGCAGAACTCTTGGTCTTGCATTTTTTTTTTTTTGCTTGCACAGCTGCGTTTCGATTTAACATTGCACCAGCAAAACGAATGTGCAGCACCCAGGGGTACCCAGCGCCGCACCCCTGATGCCGGCGGCCATTTCTTCCATCACTCAGCACTGCTCATTTCTCCATAAAGGCTTCCAAAATGTTTTTACCCTCAGGCAGATCCTGTCACTGATGTTGTTATGAAGCAGCTATGCTGCGGAGCCTCCTGCTGGTCTCAACTGTGATCTTTCTGAGCGTCCATGGTAAATACCAGAGGGGGAAACCTCCCACTGATCCTGGGGGGGATTGGTTTTCTCGCACAGCCCCATCGTACCAAAAATTGGCCGTTCTGCTTCAGAAACTCAACTGCATCGCGCGTTGTCCCTAATCCTCCTTCCCTCTGCGTGTCCTGTGCCGTGCAAGAGGGGACGTTATCAAAGGTACAGACCAACGTGCTGAGGAACCTTTTTTTTGTTCCTTTGAAAACCCACCCTGCTCCAGCCACCCCCCATTTTATAGCGCTCGTTATTTCAGAGAAGTGGCCAGAAATAAAAAAGCAAAGTACACGTTTCATTTGGAAACTGATACCTGCACATCTGCA